TCAATTGAATTTCAATAAAGTTAAAGGCATGGCCTCACTGTTAATATTTAAAAAAAAAAAAAAAAAAAAAAAAAAAATAACTTGAAAGATATGAGTAATGAAAAGGAAAAACCTGTAAATCATTTCACTTATTGAGTGAAATGATTTACAGGTTTTCCCTTTTTGTCACTCATATATAAGTGTATTAAGAATAAAATCATTATATAAAAGAATCACAGCAAAGACTTCAGGATAATTCATGTGACTTTAAAAAAATCATCACCAAAATTGGTAATTGGTTAAACCAGAGCAAGTTTTAGAATTACTTTTTGGTGTAGTTAGAGTTAGCATTAGTGGGTTATATAGAATTTAATTTATGCAATATAAAGATCATATATTGTAGCTCCGCTTTAAGCCATTGGAAATTTGCATATTTTTTTAGCATTTATTGCCGGTGGCGATACCACCACATCTTATTCTTTTTATCGAATTTAAGGTTAGGGTACAATTTTAGATCCATGTTAAGGTTTGATAATGGATCAAATTTTGGTTTTTGGGGGATCCTGAACATTTTTTTATACAGTACCCTTATATGTGTTAACTAGTTTTTTGAGATTTAGTATCTTTGGTGATATCGCTACTGGCAGTAAATAGTAATATTTTTTTATTACTATATTTTGATTATTAAAAATTGTTTTTATAAAACTAATTGGATAGATAGTTATTATATAAAATCTTTAATTTTGATTAGTTAGTCCAAAGTCATCTTTTTCTGTGACTCCCCCATATGCAAGTTGCAGGTTTTCACTTCACACATTTATATATAAAAAATGTAATACACATTTACATTTATTAAGCAACAATAAAGCTGGCCCTGGTGGCTAATTTACATACATAATCGGATCATTTTTGCGTGTTCAACATGTAAATGCAAGTATATTAAGCACGCTAACATATTACTTATATATTTAATCGAAATTTTTCTTGATCGGGCACCCTTGCTGAAATTTTATCAGTGTCTTTATGGTATTAGCGAATATTATTACAATTTCTTGAAAACCCCCTTTTTTATTGTGTACAAAAGGTGATTTCTTATTCAAATTTTCAAAAATAAATGTCGCGCCTGAAGCTGGAAATTAATATGAAATTTTCAAAATTTTTGGGATGCACTTTTTTAGCCTTTTTTGTATAATTAGCTTAGAATTTAGTGCTAGTTTTGATAATATATTTCCAGCTTCAGCCGCGACAATACATTATGGTTTTGAAACGAATGCTTTAAATTTTCTTGATTGTGTTGCATTACATTAAAAAGCGTGATTCATTAATGGCCGGCCAATTTGCTATCAATCGCCATATGTTAGTGAGCAGTATTAGGCTTAAAATTATGCATCAAGCTTTTGATAGACTATATGTGTTCGACAGATTTGTATTGACTAGATATAAAATATTCAGATGTTTTAATTTTCACAAGCCTTATAGAAAGCGCCATATTTTTAAGATTGCCAAGTAGATACTTTTGGTTTTTTTTTTATGTACAAATATCGAGTATCTCATAATACAAGCATGATGAAAAGTTTAAGATTTCAGCCAATTTTTGATCAGTTAGTGTGTTAATATCAATTTTTTTTGGTCTTTTTCCTGATACTGATGTGAATCGCAATCTTGAGGGATCGGTGTTAAGATAAACAGCGACTTGATTGGCTACCTATGGTATATTCCAATGGAAAACCTAAATTAGAAAATCAACAATGAAATGTGATTACATAGAACAATCGTTATTTAGATAACATACAGCTTCATATGTCATATTCTTATTTAAAATCAGACTAAATTCAGGTATCAAATCTTTATATCCAAATTTTGACTTAAATTGAACTATGATATTCATTAATAATGATTCATAAAATTGAGGAATACTATAGATGCGACCTGTAGAAACATGATCTTGAATCCTGTATAAAACGTATGTTTTCTTAATCTTTTTTTAAAAAATTTAATTTAAAATAAGGATCTAAAATGTCAATAGCATACTCTTTATTCGTCAATGTTTTTTGAAAACATATTATATCACCGTCTTGCATATCGGACTTGCTAAAAGTTAATTCAGGTATCTTCTTTTCGATCAAATCTGGTTTGACTTCCTAGATTTTAGTAGAAGAGTATATATATGTTAAGATTATATATCTTACTAAATATCAAGTAAAATGAAAATTAGTTCACCTCATATATATCTAAAGGCGTATTTGATTGGAGTTTCTTTTTTTTATGTAGAATAGGAAAAATAGTATTAATTTTGCGGTTTTTCTGAACATGTAAATGACCAAGACTTCTGCTCAAATAGATAAAGTTATATTAATTCTCGTAAAATAATAATATGTATAGTTAAGTTTAACATACTCTAGTGACTGTGTATCCGGATTAAAATATTTAAGAAAAATAAACATATCGCCAGTTCGTGCTGGTTGCTTTTTCTGTTCAAGTTAGAAAAATTAAATAAGAATACAAGCTTATATAGTGATAGCAAAACTAAATAATAATTGTGAGTAATTCATTACCTTGATGTTTATTGCTATTGGTTTTTTCAATATTTCCATAAATAATCTCAATTCATCATCTCCCTCTGATAGGTTTGTTTTGACTTCTTCCATCGCTAGCATTAATAAAAAAAAAAATGTTTAATAATTTTGTGAATGCATAAATGGAATTATGAAATACATAAAATGGAAATTAGACAATCTATATTGCAACTCACATTTATCAAGAAAATCATCGGTTATAAGCTTACGAGGTCTAACAGTTTTATTTTGTAGAGTTACCATTACCCAGAACCTTATTTTATTGGTAGGAATTCCAAACTTTGTAGCGATCGTTGTCTTAAAATCACCGTAGGTGTCTTTTTTTAAATATTTAAGTTGAAAAACTTCAGATAATGGATATTGCTTATCATCAAAGTTGGCAAGGTCAAATCCTGTGTGGTTTTTAAACGTGTCCTCATTTAAGACCTAATAATGACGAAATTAAACTACTTTAATAATAATTAATCACAAATTCTTTTTCAATGGACCAAATAAAATTACCCATATTTGCATATATGAAATGCTTTCTGTTAATGCTTTTTTTCTCTGTTCCCATGAAGTCTTTTCTTCGTCGCCTATGAAATAATATATGATCATGATTTAAAAAAATGTGGAATAATTTAAGTTACGAATCAATTCCACTTACACAAATGTTTTGGGAGATCTTCAGGAAGTATTGATGATAATATCTCATTGACATCAGGCTCGCGAATATACACTAACAAATATGCATTATTATACGTGGAACCATCGCCACCGTAATTATTTTCAAGTACATCTTTGACTGATACTGGTGTAACACGAATTCCATCAAACTTTATCCTAATCATTTTACATAATTAAGTCTCTATTAATGTAATAACATTGGGTGAACATAAATTTAACAAACCATCTATGATTCCTTTCAGGTCTTAACAATGCATAATACCGACAATTATGTTTATTCGAACCACTATGAACAAGTACACTAATTACGATAAAAATTCGTATAAACACAATTAATAAAATATTATTCAAACAAATTTTTAACAGAAATTGTAAAAAAATTGATTTTGACAAACCCATGTAATAAGTATTTGTGTGATTTTGACTTATCCGGATCTGGAGCCAAATATTTTTGTAAATCAATTTCCATGGGATATTCGTAACGATCATTTATCTACATAATAAATTATTATCAAAAAAAAAGCGTAAAATAATGGTTAAAATTTTATATATTTTACGAGTGTATACCTTGACCATAGTATTATTCTGCACATCATACTCAAACCGATTCAAATGTATGTGCAATACAGGTGGAAAACTTTCAAAGATTGTACTTTTTTTAGCCGCCTGCAAACATAGAAATAAGTACAGTAAATTCCTTATTTTTACAATGAAAATAAATGGAATAAATAAATAATTAAATATTTACTTGCAAACCATAACCTTCAGCATTATACATATTATCTCCTTCTAAATTTTCTTGCATAAATTTCATAAAAGAATCATCTAAAGTTTTACATCCTTTAACATTAAGTTGAATATCTACAGAAAATAAATTGCCATAAAGTTATTACAAATGCAGAACATCTTCGGTTAAAATTATGGTATTTCTCTTCTACCATAGTAATCTTCAATATGTAAGGATTCACAATCTACGTTAATACATTTAATGTAAGTTTTCATCTTGCCACTAAAAAGTTTAGAAATTGTGCCTTCTGCTTTTGTGTTCTAGAATTTTATGTAAAACATTCATAAAACAAATACAAATATATATATAATAATAATAATTGAATATTGTGACTATATAAGAGCTTCACCTTTAATTTATCTTCAACATTATCTCGCAGTACACCAATGAACTTTCGAACATCACTCGTGAGAAATATATTCCATCCAAAAAATTTTACTAATTCTGTTGTTTGAACTGAAGAATCTGAAACGTTTAATTTGTAAAAAATTCGCTGTAAAGCTGAAGCAATGCTTTTTGCTGATTTATCATTTTCCATGGGAAGTTGATAAACAGCCTATGATAAAAATAATCATATATATTTGAAGAAAAAAGAAGATTAAGATAAAATAATAATAATAATAATAATAAATTTGACAGTAATAACCGACCTTGCGAAAATATTTTATAAAGTAGAGTGATTGTATTACTGAATTTAAGAAGGTATTTACTTTTAGATTTTTTAAGCCAATATATCCAGGAGAATATTTCCTATCAGACCATAGTGTCCCAGTTGGATCTTCAATAATACGGACTAGTGCCGTAATGTTACAAGCGTCATTTTCAATTAGCGGATGAGTTCGGTCATCAGTTGGGGTAAATAAGTCATTTTGGTCATAAAATTTTCCAAAACCCCAGTCAGATTCTTGGGCAGTGAAACGATGATATGCATCTGCAGACATTAATTAAAATGAGTGAATTCTCACATTAAGTGTAAAGGGTGAACAGTTAAATGTTATATATACAATGGCTAATGTATTCTGTCGGCTCTTTTGAATTCCATAAAATAAAAGCAAACTGCACACAGACGTTCCAATCTGAATATTCCTCTCGCGAATCAGCGGATTTTAAGTAAATTGAAATTTTGCTTAAATTTTTATTTCCATAAGGAAAAAGTAAAATGCGCCTAAATTTATAAAGTTTAGCAGATTGATCAATTAAGAACTCAACCCAAAATTTTATGTGAATTTTTTTTTCCAGTTTTAATTGAAAAAGTTTTACGATAATAATTACTAATAAATTTTACAAGATTATATTAAAATTAGTTTAAAATATATATTTTGGTATATTTTGATTCAAAATTTTGAACAAATTACATATAAAAACATTTTGTACATTTTTCGATTTCTTTTGTTCTCCATATTTAATATAAATTTGTATAAAAAACATTTATACATAATGTAATATTATCTATGCATTAGTATAAAAACTCACCATTGGCATCCTCCAGCCTCGAATTTGGGACCAGTTATCCTCCTTTCTATATTACTCCAATTAGTGACATGCCACGTGTAGTACTGGAAATCCTTGATTTTATAATCAAGATCGGGCATAATTTTGTTTGCAATAGCTTCATCTGTAAAATTTTTAAGTTATTTAGATTACTTTGATTAATTCTAAAACTATCAGATTTAAAATATTCGATAAAACTTACAATCCATTTGATAATTATTCAATCAGAATTTTTTAAAAATTTTATTTGCGTATTTTCAATTTTTTTTTAAATCCAATTTATAGCATTATTTATCGGAGTTATTGATTCCGTTTACGATTGTAACATTGTGATTTTGAAATATTTGTTTTCTATTTAAGTATATAGTAAGTTCTTTTTTATTTATCATGCTTTATATTACGCAAATCTACTCCATAATTGGAAATAAACTTTATACTAGATGTTTCAGTTCAGATAGTCTTAAAAAAAGAAACTTATGTTAGGATAGAAATTTATAGTAGTCAGAATGTTATAAAGGCTATATAGAAATGAATTATCTCATAATATGTACGTTGTGGGACCCGGATGGACACTGACCGCTTTGGGGGTCATATCCCAGTTAGGCAAAGATCGGTCGCATCCGTC